AACACTACTACAGGATCTTAAACCCCCAGTGTGCAGCCTGCATTCAGACAGGCAATGTGTAATATCTTTGTCTACTACGTTGTCAGTTAATTACTCATCCACACTCAAAAGGTCCCCCCACTTTTCCCTTGTCACTGTCACTGCAGACTCTGCTGTTGACCTGTGGATGGTGTAATGAGCAATGTTCCTCCCATTAGCAAGGATCTTCACAGAGATAGTATAATGCACTGGAGATGTATGCAACCCCTTCCTTCTATGCAGAAACCCTGACCAACCAGCAGAAGGCACCAGTGCAGAACAACGACAACATCACCTCCCTGATACTGAATTCGAAGTGGGCTGCCTGAGTGGGTTGTCAGACACGAGACTGCTCTTTTGCACCAACGTTCAATCAGCAAGGAACAATTGATGCTTCTGCTTTGTGCATGTCAGCCTGTGTGTTTAATCCAGAGTTACTGCAGCTAGTGTGGCACGAGCTCAATACTGCAACCTACATAGAAATCAACTTAAATGCGATGATTAATGTGTTGTGTTAGTGACCACCACAAGGGCGGAGAGACAGCTCATGCCTCTTTCAACACTGAGTCTGCCTCCTGGGGAACAATGACATAGTGAGCACACTTACTCCGTCTCTCTCTCTTACACAAAATATTAACTCTTGTTAGTGCTCACACATTACGACCATTACTTACTATACTTACACATAGACATAAGATGAACATAACTGATAAATGATTTTAATAAACAAAGAGCTACTGGTCACTTTGCCCCCTACCGTGCTGCTTACATTTAGACACTGAAACTATAAATTAAAGAAATCATTGTTAGTAGTAAATGTCTAACAACTACCACCAAGACTCATGCACTTAAAATAAAAAAGAATCAATAAATCCATTTTCCAAACTGTAAAAATCTTCATATAATCATTGTAACAGTTTGCATTGGGCCGTCACACCCAGAGCTTACAATCGGGAGGGTAATAGTGTTGAAATAATGCTGCATGACTCATTAGTGCTTGGGAAATTCAAATGGGCAAGGACCTTTAAAATCTGATGGTCTCTCTGTGTGTGTGTGTG